GAAACATCTTTCTTGATGATGGTTATAGTGATGTATAGTGGGCATATCAAAAGTGACTTAAAATTCAACATACTAATTCTTACAAATATACCAAGGAAACATGTTTCTTGATGATGGTTATAGTGATGTATAGTGAGCATATCTAAAGTGACTCAAAATTCAACATACTAATTCTTACAAATATACCAAGGAAACATGTTTCTTGATGATGGTTATAGTGATGTATAGTGGGCCTTACGTTAAGGTACTCCAAATATATAAAAATTACATAAAGTTGTTCAAAGGCATGCTTTCTGTACATTTTACCATTCCACTACTCTACTAAAACATGTTTCTTGATGATGGTTATAGTGATGTATAGTGGGCCTTACGTTAAGGTACTCCAAATATATAAAAATTACATAAAGTTGTTCAAAGGCATGCTTTCTGTACATTTTACCATTCCAATACTCTACTAAAACATGTTCATCTTCAGCCCAATTGAAGATGCCAAAGCCTTGCCATCACCACCAAAAAATTTTTCATGATTAAAAAATCTATCAAAATTTAGAATTGTGTAATTATTACCATCTTTATTTTAATTAAAATATTATGAGATGTTGCTTTGATTTTTATTGGATTTTTAAGTTTTTAATACTGATGTTTTAATGTAATATTTAAATTTTGAACGTATGATTTTAAGTCACTACTATGATATCCATGGAACCTTGTTTATTCAGATTGTTTGATGAACAATGTATCGGCCTATTTTGAGGAAAGATCAGGATGTATGGTTAGTGGGAAAACCTACACTTGAACTCTCAGCTTCCAGAATTCCTACGAAGGGAAATGTCTTATGACTATTTAAAATATGGACCAATGCAGCATGAAAAACACGTCAACTTTAATGATGCAGTTGCAGACAGAGTCGTATTCAAAACGACAAAGCAGGAATAGAAACTCAACGAAAAGATAACATCAAAATTTTTAATCTTTATGATGGTTACAGAAGAAGAAAGGATCTAAAAGAAATGAAGAGATAAAAAAGTTTTGTTGAAGAACTACAAAACTGTTTTTTCATTGTACACCAGAAGAAAACAGAAACTGGTCGATTCCGAAATAGTAACAGAAAAAAGATGTTGAACTTCTGAAAGCTTTACAAAATCAGAAGAAGGTGTCTTTAGGATCTGAAGACAAAGCATACAGCAAGAAAATGAAAATAAGATGATGAAAAATAATTCTTATATGATGAGAAAAAGGTCTGAAGAACAAATAAAGCAAAGTCTTGCAGTAACTATCAGTATAAATCCAGAAAATCAAAATCCCAAGCCAGTTCCATAGACAGTCCAGATATGCAATATGAAAAAGTCAATTTTGAATGCCAATCTTACTCTGGTGCTAAGACTAAGAACACTACATCGATGAGAAAAGGAACCGTTACTTTGGAGCTTCCAAGCAATCCATTCAGAAGTTCAAAAATGTCAACAATAGCATATCTCTTAAATTTACCTGCAGGTCATGGCTGTAATCATTTCAGAAGATGGGACTGATTTGGATAGTGTGACACTTTCTAAATTGAGTACAAGGAGTGCAGAAAAAAAAGGTTTAATGGAGGGTGCCATTGCTACAAAACCTCATTTATTCCACTGAAGTATGTAACATTGCACTGGGATGGAAAAATTGTTCCAGGAGATGATGAAAGGTTAAGAGGTCTTATAGCAGGAATGCAAGACCACAAAGAGGGAAAACTGTTTGGTATTCCAGTGATTCCAGATGGAACTGATACAACCCAGGCTAACACAAACCATGCTCTCACATTCCAGTGGAAAGTAGAAAAATGCTTATCATTGGACTTGTTTTTCAACACTACCATTTAAAACTCTGGATGGAAGAGTGGTGCTTTGCTTAAAAGGAAAGTTTTTTACTTTTCTTGCCATCATCAAATCGTGGAAAGAATTTTGTGTGCATTTTGGCAGGAATTGTTTGGTGCAACATCCAGTCTGGACAACCCTGAGTTCAAAGAGTTTAATAAGTCTTGGGGAACTCTTGAGGAACGATAAACTTTTAAGATGCTGCATATCTCTGATCCTCGACTTAAACGTCAGCAGGAAATTATCATCAACTTTCTCTGAGAAGGATTGACTTAATCTGAAGTTGCCTCGAAAGATTTTCTGCCTCAAGAAGATTATCGAGAATGTGCCAAGTTGATGTTGATTCTCTTAGGAGAAACCCCACCTTGTGGACTGCACTGGCCACAGCCCGTTGGATGGTAACTGTGATTTACAGTGCTAAGATGTACACATCTGGTGATCATCTGAATTATGATAAAGCCAAAATGGACAAGTTGCACCACATCTGCTTGTTTAATGGTCACTTCCAAGCTTTGTTAAAAGCTTTGTTATTCACAGTTTGCAATGTTGTTCAGCTGAGGAATGATCTGGATATATACAGTAGATGTGAACCTGGTACATTTGCGCTCTTCTCCAACTTGGTGTCAGAAGCTGAGAAGAGGTAAATTGCTCATCAACTGATCAAAGTGGAGGACGAAAATAGAGTCCCGAATTTTCCACAGTTAGTTTAATCGAATAAATTGGCATCTTTGATTTGCAGAAAATCATGGTTCCCATTCAACATTCTCGGTATCGAAACAATGGGCCACCAACACAATGGACCACTGATGGTGACGTCCAGGACGTTTTTTCACTACGCCACTGTGGTAAACGATCTTCCTGAAACAGTTGTCAAACTCATCACAGACTTACAAACATCATAATGAAAGATGACGAGTAGGGGCAATTCATGCTGCCAAAACTCTCAAAAATGTCTGAATAGGTGTTTTCTGTGACTGTGTGAACCATTCTGTAGTGTGACTTTTATGTCATTATTAGACTCATTGATTAAACTGAATATTGATTACACAAAATATGATTTTTAGCTGTGGCATGCAGTTCAAAGAACGGCTCTGAGTTTGTTTTTTTTTTCAAGTACAAACTTTTAGTTCACAGCTCCATCATCTCTTGACCGAATTGAGATCTAATTACAATTTTGGACTCAGGAGGTCAAACCCTTTTGATTAATGTATTTGACCATGCTCAAGGTCTCATAAATTATTCTAATCCTGCCTAAAATAATTTCAATTTCAGGGTAGGCTGGTAGAGTTCCTTACGAGTAATAAAATTGAATCGGTAATGCTGGTGCACAAAAATATAGCTAATAAAATAAAGAAAAAAAAAAAGGTCTCATATATTAACTTACTTTAATCCTGCTTAAAAGAATTTCAAGTGCCATGGTTATTGAGGATTCCCTCTTGTTCTATATGTTTGTTTGTTTGTTTTGGAATTTCGTGC